AGGAATTGTTGTTACAGACTTCTGTATCACGAGTAACTCGAAGGTGGTCGTCATAGCTGCGGGCGTGAGGCAAGTGAAGGGTGAGACGCGGTTAGATTTGGTTCAACGAAATTCGGAGATTCTGAAGAACATAGTACCAACATTGGTTAGTTACAGTCCGAACGCCGTGTTCGTGATCGTCAGTAACCCAGGTTAAGTATCGCTTAGAAAGCATAGAAGGAGAAAAAGCATCTGTCCGGAAAGGAGAGACAACATAACCGATAAGACAATGCTAAGAAATCCGCGATTAAGAGACCGATACTCTTGCTTTCAGTTGACATTTTAACGTGGGTAACGTGGAAAGCGAGCGGATTGCCGGCCGGTCGAGTGATCGGAAGTGGAACTCATCTCGACTCAGCAAGGTTTCGTTACTTAATCGCCGACCGTGTAGGAATAGCGCCGAGCTCGGTTCACGCGTACATCATCGGCGAACACGGGGAGAGCCAGGGTGAGTTTGAAATCGCGCCCACGTTTCACAAGCTCTACGTGATCTAATTTCTTATATTTCGTCGGAGGAGAAAGCACGTATCGCGTTACGTATCGCCTCTGTTTCAATCTGTTCGACTCCGTTTGTTAGTTCCACTCTGGTCTGGAGTGAATGTCGCGGGTGTGCAGTTTCGCGACATCTTGCCGAATATCGGCCTCGAGACCGACGAGGAGAGATGGTACGAAGTTTCCAACGAAGTGGTCAGACTGTGAGCTTCTTCATCGCCTTCAACGTTTCACAGAAATTACGTGATAATGGATTCTCGAAAGAAATGTTGGTTTCAGTGGTCCCACCGTGAGATGCCTAAAGGGATACACCAGCACGGCGGTCGGCCTTTCGGTTGGCAACATTGTGGCGGCTATCCTCAATAACTCGCAGAGGGTTATACCGGTTTCAACATTGGTTCAAGTACCGACATAATCATATCGTTCTTGAGCTTAGAATTAATCTAAACTTTGTAATTCTCGCTGATCGGGCTCTGACACGCGTCTCAGTGAAGTTTTTCGAAACATTTTGTTTGAAGGGACATCACGAAGTTTGTCACGAGATGTTCCTGTCGCTGCCCTGTACCCTAGGTGAGAACGGCGTCACAAATATCGTGCGAATGCGTATCACCGACTTTGAGAAGAAGCTGTTTCAAGCGTCGGCGAATATCGTGTACGACGTGCAAAAGGATATCAAAACGTGATCTATCAAATCATCCTTCTAATTAACATCGTGTCGTTTTCATTGTGAAGATTCTTTTTGTAAAAAGTATCGTTAAATATATCGCGTCCAATGGTGCTCGATTGATGATCGAATATTAGATATTTTATTATAGTTTTCGATCGATTGTTTCTTCTACGGAAGAAAAAAAAAAGATAATATCGGCTACTTTCCTAAAAAATGGTCTTCGTTTGAAATGTCGCTATCACAAAGTTTCTCTCTCTCTCTCAACGGTGAATCACAGACGTCGATTTCGATTAGGTGACCTATCCAGAGATCTTCCAAGAGTACCACCAGGATCTGGTCGAATTTGCACAAGTATAATTCCTACAAGAACTCATTCTTGAAACGATACTCTCTCGAACAAAAAGAACGTTGAACGTATTTTGATACACGTATTTTCTTTCGCTGCGTCGAGAATCCTTTTTCCTCGCTGGATGCCAATAGCAGCACAACGCACCGCGTATGGGTGCGTTTCCCTGTGGCGCGCGTGAAAAAGGCGATAGGTGACCGGTGGATGGTACCAGAAGGCCGTGATTGCGCCGCAGGCTAGGCCACGGCAAGGTGAGAGAACAGTGCGAAAATCGGCCACAAGATGTCGCGTTGAAATGCTCGGTTAAGGCGATAGCCACATGAACCGCGATGTTACGGCGTTCAAACGTTGAACAGTGCCGTCGTAAGAACAGCGCTTGAAAACGTTCGCGCTTCTTCTTCGAATCCAATTTTCCACCATTTCGAAATCGATTGGCAATCCCAATCAGCTCTCTCTCTCTCTCTCTCTCAGATTATCGACAAGTTTGACGATTCCAAGACGCACCTCGAGCGATTCTCATTGAAAAATTAATGAACGAGATGACGAAAGAAGCAACGAATCAATGTGACTCAGCTGACGTAAAAACGTAGGAAAGAGAGGCGAAAACGGTTGTGAAAAATCGTAAACCGTGTTGATATCGAGCGAAGAAGAAAACTCTAGAAGGCCTCTAGAATACGCTCTCCTTTTACTTGCTTCGAAAGCAGATCGCCATTTGAAAGGCGAGGCGTGTCATTGATTTTTAAAAGAATTCTTCGTGAATCGTGTCGTAATGTGCGCGCACACGCGCGCGAATCCTTTTGTCGACCGATAGAAATTCCTCCGATCGTTTCGGACTGGACACGTGCCCCGGTACCTCGCGACGTATCCCCGTAAGAATCGTAATATCCTACAAACGACAACCTGTTTCCTTGGCAAATTTGAATATGGAACTCGCGACATTGATAAACATTGGTGAATAAACCTTCGCTCGCTCGAGAGTAGGATACGGACGAATTTTAATTGAAAAACGAAACTTTCGGCCATGTTCAAGTACCCGTTGACACTGTTATTAACGAGTCAACTAATACTCTGAATATATTGTCGTCATTTCGACGACTTTTACAAATGGTGCAAAGTTCGTAAAAATTACAATAAATTATAATAAGAAAGTAAGAGCATCGTGATGGAATACAGTAGTGGAGACGAGTTCTCGAACGAGCGTGGCAACGGGGCAGGTTTACACGGCACTGAGGCCCCAAGTGGAGGTGGTAGTCGGTGGGCCCCGTTCTCTGTTGGTCCTGTCGTCTGTCAGTGGAGCTCAGTCAGCAGACAGTCGGTCCGTCCGGTCAGCTGGTTCCGTCTAATCGTGTTCGAAGCTTCCTGATGGTAAGCCGAACGTAAAACACCTGATAGAATCCGGTAATCGGACCTCGATCGTCAAGGATCGGCGAAAGACTCGGCGGCCCGCGCGCCGTATGTGCGCGAGTGTACAGCTTCTCCACCGGAAACACCAACGACACGGTGCGAGATACCAACTAAGCCGAACGACACAAGGTACAAGTGGCGGAAGAAATCGAAACAAGCGGAGGAAGAAGATAGAAACGCGGCAGGGAAGGTGTACACCTGGTCAGGCAGGAAATGACTATATCGTACGCGAGCGAAGTGCCAAACGGCTCCAGCTTTGGCTGCTTCTGGAGGATCCTGGTCAAGTGAGTTTCATCGATTTCTTTCCTCGAACGATCGTTCTCGTCGTTTCTCTTCGCGAAACCTCAGACGAGAACGCGTGTATCGCGATTGGTTGGATGTTTGGTGACAGCGTGACAGGTTGAAAGAGCTCTGGCACGCGTTGCGAGGCCTTAGCAACAAGTTCACCAAGCTCCGTCGTCCTTAGGCTGTTTTCATTCTGCTCTACGCTCGACCTCGTCCACTCTTCCAACGCCAGTACTGCACTTTGCTCCTTCGTTGACTCTGTCACACTCTGCCAGAGTGTTTTATCAACGGCATTGCCGTGTCGCAGCTCGCAACGATAGGAAACACCGCGACACACATACACACGCACACACATGCACACACACACACACACACACACACACGGAACGCGGAGCCATGGAAAAGGTGGTGCTCTCACTTTCCTTACGATGGATTAATTTCACGCTGGCCACGAGAGAGGACGAGACGTAACTCTGCCGTGAACTTACTTCAAATTTCGTGATCCGTATTTTGAGCAGAGTCGTATGAAAATAGCAAACCGGGCGAAACTTTCGACACGCGTGCGTCCGAGCCGAGCGTTCCAAGATACTGGAGCACGCCTCTGGACAGTTTACATAGACGGCGTGCCATGTAAGACGAAGATATTGCGATATTGCGACCAGTGGATCGTTGTGCAACGTTCAACTTTCGACTCGATGTACCGTGTTCT